TGGACTTGGGTCCAGTTCACAGGACGTACAAGGTGCCTTCATAATTATCTTTCTCATTTCTTCCTGTGCGACTGGTGAGAAGTCTGTCAGTTTGTCACCAGCAAATGGCACATCGGCACTCATCACAACACTGCTGGTGAGGTTAGCCTTGGAAGGATTGATGTTGTTTCGAATGGTGGCCACCTTTGATGTGAAGAAGTCACTGAATTTGCTTGCTATGGATTGATCAGATGAAAAAATAGGCTTTGGAAATGTGTTAGGCAAATACATGGCTATCAGTTTATTCTCAGGTGCGTTATGCCAGCGTAGCCCTATGCAATATCTGATTTGTTAGCGATGTACGAGACGAGGTTATATTTGTATAAACTTACAAGAAGGCATTTATTTTACCCCATATTAAATCTGAGAAACCTTTGGAAATAGGCTTTAGCGCAGTTAAGATTGCTTGGACAGTACATGGTGTTGCCAGGTTCCCCTGTGGGTTGTCATGGCATGTCTCTCTAACAGAATCATGAACATATAGTTTATGAAACATCTCTCATTAACTTTCAAGAAAATTGAGATATTTAAGCTGGTTCCTTAATATTCGACGAGCAGTACGGTATGAATCACTCCCTTTCAGTTGCCTGTTTAATGGTTTACGTCACGTCATGTTTGATGGTTTACGAGAGTTGACAGGGTGACAGTATCACGTCATGTTTGATGGTGCACGAGAGTTGACATGGTGACAGTATCACGTCATGTTTGATGGTGTACCAGAGTTGACAAGGTGACAGTATCACGTCATGTTTGATGGTATATCGAAGAGTTGGCAAGGTGACAGTATCACGTCATGTTTGATGGTGCACCAGAGTTGGCAAGGTGACAGTATCACGTCATGTTTGATAGTGTACCAGAGAGTTGACAAGGTGACAGTATCACGTCATGTTTGATGGTGTACGAGAGTTGACAAGGTGACAGTATCACGTCATGTTTGATAGTGTACCAGAGTTGACGAGGTGACAGTATCACGTCATGTTTGATGGTATATCGAAGAGTTGGCATTCTATATCGAGTGGTCTTTCCCCTGTGTAGGCTGTCTCAACGTCTGTGCGAACTGTATCTTCTGTATGTCGGCTGTCTCCCTCTGTGTAGGCTGTCTCAACCTCTGTGCGAACTGTATCTTCTGTATGTCGGCTGTCTCCCCTGTGTAGGCTGTCTCAACGTCTGTGCGAACTGTATCTTCTGTATGTCGGCTGTCTCCCTCTGTGTAGGCTGTCTCAACCTCTGTGCGAACTGTATCTTCTGTATGTCGGCTGTCTGCCTCTGTGTAGGCTGTCTCAACCTTTGTGCGGCCTGTATCTTCTGTATGTCGGCTGTCTCCCTCTGTGTAGGCTATATCAACCTCTGTGCGGACTGTATCTTCTGTATGTCGGCTGTCTTGCCGGTATGAATGCTATCATTAACGCATGTAGGCTGTCTTTCCTAGATGTAGGCTATCCCTAGTGTATGTAGACTTTGTTTCCTGTATGTAGGTTGCTTCTCAGCTATGATGATTGCCTCTCTGTCCACTAAACAGTCAGTGACCCGTTGATAACCCACCTTTCATAGTTCTTCAATTTTATTTCTTTGACATCCCTGGACAGAGGCAACTGTTCGTCTTGATTGTGCCGAGTCTTACAAAAGTTGCTCTACAAACAACTACCACCATACTGACTTTGACCTGACGAGGCGGAGCTATTATAACAGCCTTTCTATATTCCACTCACGTGCATCAGGAAGTCTTAGGTAGTCCATTTCCTGTCCCTTCTTTCATCGGCTATAAGCTGTATATGAATTATACCCTCGTATCTCCATATATCATACACCAGGCAGGTGCTCGGTGTCCTGCCACTGCGGTAAAGTGAAGTGTATTTGTGTGCAAGATAAGTCCACTAACAGACCCGGTGTGTAGTAGGGTGTGTTCACTGTTGTGTGTTTGTTAGTTCCAGTGGAGTTAGTTATAACTGTATCAGGAGCTACACATGTGCACCGACTTCATTACCCTTACAAAACTGGAATACGAAAAACGTTTTGGTCCTTTCACCGAATCTGTAAACTATGAGGCAGTTGACGCCCGGCGACAATAGTTAAACACGTAGTGCAGTAATTCCCGGGGAAACGTGGTGAAAAACATTTGTAGCCTTCACCTACTTGTTACTCTATCTTACCCCTGTGGTTCCCAGCCAGTCTCAGTCCTCAAGGCCGTGGGGGCGTTCTGAGTCAGTCCTCCAGGTCGATGTTAACTAAGTCAGTCCTATATGTTATCTAAGTCAGTGACAGGAAGCACGGACACTGGTGAAGCATCTCTGATGTAAAACAAAGGATGTTTATCACACACTGTGAGTGTGACGGGGCGGTGGGGAAGCCTAGTAGTCAAAGCGTTCGCTCGTCACGCCGAAGACCTGGGTTCGATTCCCCACATGGATATAATGTGTTAAGGCCATTTCTGGTGTCCCCCGCCGTTCTATTGCTGGAATATTGCTAAAACCGGCGTAAAAGCATACTCACGCACGCACGCACGCACGCACGCACGCACTCACTCACTCACTCACTCACTATGAGTGCGACTGTGTGTACGATACGATCTTCAACCTTCTAGTCATTTAACCAGGCATTGAATTCCATTGGGTCTACTCTTTTTTCTTGCCTTGGCTTCAGGACCAGCCATTTAAATGCGTGGACAAGTCGACGAGCTCATATCGGTTGGTCCACAAATTCAGCGTTAGCGAAACAGTACTGTATTGTTAGTGCACAAGTAAACGCATTACTCGCTGCTTATAGCCTTACACGACCGTGGACTCGTGTTGATTAAATAGTCGCAAACTAAACGGTAACAGCCGGGGTTTGAGCCCAGAATACAAGGTCGTCGAGGTCAGACACATGTAAATATGCTGTAAATGTCATGATATAGCATGTCTGTGGGGGTGTGATTGAGTGAGTGAGTGATCGAACGACTGGGTGGGTGAGTGAGTGGTTCTGTTCTGTTTGTTTATCCCCTTACCCTGCACTCAGCAATATTCCAGCTTTTTGACGGCGGTTTGTAAATGATCGACAAGCATGGATTGTTGAGCACTAATTCTAACCCGGATCTTGACGGGTGAACGGGCTGGCGGATGACTGAGTGAGTCAGCTCTTTGGACGATCACCGTTGTAACGAATCTCAAGGTCACTGTTAAGCTGCGGTCACACACGACTCGTCTTGAAGATTTAACGAGCGCTTCAGTGAACATATTGTGGTAAACATTGTACCGGGGTTAGCGACTGAACATAATAATCTGTATTTTTCCGTATGGATTATGTAACTGAGATTCACTGCCACACACCCGAGAGTCACGCATGATACAATCTGGTGGACGAGAGTTGCCTGCCTGTCCATACGGACGTTGCAAGCATCACGAGATCGCGAGAATGTCCCTCACAGTATTCCATACATAGGCGGATCCAGAATGGGGGGTGTAGGGGTGTGTTTGTGTGTGCTGAAAGTTTGGTAAATGACCATTGAAACTCGGGTAAAAATGAAGTGTGCACCCCTCCTTTTCTCGATAGTGTGCATCCCCCCTTTCTCAAAAAGTTGTATCCGCCCCTGCCATACATACCACATGAACTATCGTCAAGTTCCTCGAGTAAAATGAATGTTTTGAATATGATCGTGTCGCAAAAGTACTTTTCTTTATAACCATGTCACTACAAAGTTCACTACACAGACGTGAGAAATCAGGACTCTTCATGGATGACGATCACTCTAGTTTGACAACAGCATAAAGTCTGTAGCCTACCGAAACCGTAGCATCATATTACAATAAAGAATTTGTCATCCATGAAGTGTCCTACCTTTCTTATTCTCATCAACTCCTAAAATGCCAATCAAACAGAGCATATCTAAAATGTGTTTTTTAGGGGTCTTTTGTTTGTTCGTATTGTTTGTTAGTTGTTCTTTTATTTTGCCAGAATATGCATTATTATTTTTATTTATGTACAGAATGAGTTGACCTCGCCGGATATTATCACCGCGCCGGGGAAAACAGGAGCGGGTTTGGGAGCGTTTACGATCAAAGGGAATCAACTGTTACTCAGGTGAGACTATTGAGCACTTCCATAAAATCATTTTACAGTTCTCTCCCTTGGATTAGAAAATTCAGCAATGCTTCCTGACACAGAGTTTGGTACGTCGTTGAACAATTCGCTGATTTATGAACTGTGGCAGTGTCGAATATACTTTTAGGTGGAATATATCAGCTGTAGTTGAATAATAGTTGCAGTGTTGGATGTTTCCGGTGCAATATATCAGGTGTAGTTTAATTAATTGTGGTTGTGATGGGTGTTTCAGGTGGAATATATCAGGTGTAGTTTGATTAATTGTGGTTGTGATGGGTGTTTCAGGTGGAATATATCAGGTGTCAGGTTGAATTTCCCAGCCACAGTTAAATTAATAGTGGCAATATTGTGGGGTTCCGGAGGAATGTATCATCACTTAATTCTTCACTGCCAACCGTAGAGTGACTTTACTATGTGCCGACAGAACAGGGCATATTTGGGAATATCAGTGAGTCAGAGGACTTGAAGATGTGCCTAGTGTTGGGCAAGTGCAAGTCGCATGCTCCACACAGAGGTTGAGTGGTTGTGTCCAACTTTAACATTGTGTGTGAGTGAGTATGGTTTACGCCGCTTTTAGCAATATTCCAGCCGTATCACGGCAGGGGACACCAGAAATGGGTTTCACACATTGTACCCAAGTGGGGAGTCGAACACGGTTCAACGGCGCGACAAGAGAACACTTTAACCACTAGGCTACCCCACCGCTGGTTTAACGTTGTTGTCAGGTTGATCATGGCGCTGACAGACCAGTGTCATAATTAGCTCGGATTCGAACCCAAAACAGGTAGATCCTGACTCAGCTAAGGGTTACAGCTCCTCTGCACGACGATCACTAGACATCATGGCTATGAATCCAGGGTGAAAGGAGAACAATTCACAGTTCATAAGTAATAACAGCTATAGTTTATTTCATAAATGTATCAACCGTGAACCTTGAACACGTCTATGACATCCCATCATTGTTACAACGTTAACAGAACAACACTCCTAGGTTCTAGTCTCTAACAACATAACGTGATCTACTCTGCCCGGTGGCGTCTCCTGTGACGCTGCGCGACGTCTCCTTGCAAGACGTCACCCTCTTCGACGTCACCCCCCTATTAGCTGCCTTTATCGTGTACCATGTATGGAAGATGTTAAAACTTCATAATGCCATTTACAAAATTTCAAATATGAAAGCATGAATGCCAAAATATGTAAATGTAAGAGCGAGTTAGGTTGTAAATATAATATCGTCATAAAAGGTTTGCTAGTGGTTGGAACACACAGTATGTTGACCTCATGAATGTGGTTGGCACAGCTTGTTTGTATTTTCAACAACGCTTGAATTAAGGCTGGAGTCAAATGTTAACATCGCACAGGTAAAATGGTGGTGATCCGGAAGGGAGGTCTTAATACAGTATGCATCTCTAGGTATTCCCATGGTACTAATGCATTACAATTCTCATGATTTGGTATTTTTATGAAACCTTTTTAGAGCAACCTTAAATAGAGTGAGTATGGTTTTACGCCGCTATCAACAATAGTCCAGCAGCATCACGGCGGAGAACACCAGAAATGGGCTTCACACATAATACCCATGTGGAGAATCGAACCCGGGTGTTCGGCGTGACGAGCGAACGCTTCAACCACTGGGTTACCCAACGCCCGCTGAATAGAGACAAGCGGAGTTGACACATAACGTCGGTGCAAATAGACAATCTACCCGCACGAAAATAACCTTAGATATTTATACCATCACACGAACCTGTATAGTGACCTTGACCTTGAGGCATACATCCTCTACGCTGATATCAATAACTAGGAATAATCAACAAAGAAATCTGAGAGTAATCTGATACCCGACCATTATATACATATCCTCTTTAGCAAACAGTGGACATCTTGCCTCCCGTCAGTCTGAAGAGGAATCTCTGTGGAACCAGGGGGAAGTAAACTATGTCACTTTCTAGGTATTAAACAAGAAATATCAATAAGTAGATCGATGAAGTAACAAAACAATTCTATCAAACCAAACTAGCTGTCATAAACTCATCAACTGTACAATGGAATCGTTCGGTTATCGGTTTAACACGCTCGTTATATTTTTCCCGCGAAAAAGCACGTGCAGAATAATCATACACTTGTCGTGATGACTATGAACGTCATTTATTACACTGAAACAGTTTCTAATTTCAAGTTAAAACAGAAATATACATGAGAAAACACATTATTATTACTACACAGGTAGGTGTCTATCTCACCTGGAAACAGATCAACGGTAATAGACACAATACCAAAATGTGTAACCAAGGTAACGGGAACGGCTGTTTGTACATCTGTGGTTTCCCTTGCACACTCAGTCGCAGGTTGTCAATATAGCTCCGTTCGAAATGACTGGGTGAGTCTTTGTAAGAATTTAAAACATATTTACTTATTAACTGGGAAATATACTGTCAAAGGGAAAGAATTTGTCATGTAATATGAATTTAATTTTATAACGATTTCTAATGATAGGTTTGAGTGAAATGTATACGGCTAGACAATGTTCATTTTGGCGTTTACGGATTTTGCTAGGGAAACATTTGGTAGGGAGATCGAAAATATGTACATAACAAAATGCATTGTACAGGATTTTTAAATCATCTTAAAGTTTGATTTGATCCGGGTGTAAAACAGACAGTTGATGCCATTTCCAATTTAATTGTATAAAAAAAGTCCTACAATTCTGATTAATTTTGTTTAAATATTCTAATTTCAAGATCAGTGGCTCAGTAAACTAACAACGTCCTGATATGTGATGGTAAAAAGTCTGTGTCGCCAAAGGCATGGAACATTTCGATTATCTATGTAGCGCCCAGACATTTGGACCGGACCTATACAACGTCCTGTTACGCCATGTTATCAGTCATGACATCAGGTTCACTTTCACACACGATGAATGTGAATTATGGACAAAATGGCGATGATGAATTGATGTGATATACCCTTCTAATAGCTTGTTACATTGCAGTCATTGAACTCACTGATATTGGACTTTTCAAACCGTTCAGACTTATGACGTTCGTTTATTAGACTTATGACTGTCATACGTATGACGTACGTTTAAACCCATTTCGTTCAGAATTGTGACGTACGTATATACCTATGACGTTCAGAATTGTGACGTACGTATAGACCTATGACGTTCAGAATTGTGACTTACGTATAGACCTATGCCGTTCAGAATTGTGACGTACGTATAGACCTGTGACGTTCGCGCAATAAGTTCGGCGTGCGACGTAACCTCTGAATTTTCAGGCCTGTGGTGAACGTTGAGACGTCACGTCAGTCTGCGATATTCTGAGAATAACATCATTTGTGACATTATAAGACTCCCGCTCACATAGTGCCGATAACAGAGGGCTATATAATATCCTATATGTAAACTTTGTAAAACATATTATCATATTGCACGCCAATTACATATATAACAAGAATATAGTGTCGATATAGGGATTATAAACATGTGATGGTAACGTTATATGGCCATGTTAAATTGTAGTGATAGGAGACAGTCACTTTGCCCAAAGTACTCCTGAACAGTAATATCGGTGAAACTTGATGAAATAAGAGAGACGGATATTATACTGGCTGCCATTGTTCGAGAGGTACAGTATTAATGTACACCCCAGGCTAACAAAGTGATATCCTAACAGTACGATTTGGCAAAAACACTAGTCGTTTCAATCAAGGCGGAGATCGACCGTCAGTTAAGTGATCTGAAATCATTACTAACAACGTATCGAACGTGAATAACAACAATTCAAATTTGGAAATAAACATTTTCGAGCAAATCTTCATCTGGTAGTCCCAGCAGACTAAGATATGTATGAGTACAGTAAGTATATTTCACTTCCTGAAGTTGCATATGGTGGCAAGCTGGTATAATACTGACTTGGGTGGAGGAGCACCTAGATCATCCCTGAAAGATAACTGTACGCCATGACAAGTACATTTGTTTCGTCAACCTCTTTGGCTTCAACGCACAGCTGCTGGTTAACTATTTATGCTGCAATATTTGGCACTGGCGTCGCGATAACAGTTAAGCCCATATTAAACTTTGCGACTTAATTTAAACTAATCTTAAGCATCGCTGCGAATTAATTGAACATTGCAATAAAGCCGAGCTGCACTTCAGTTTACTGTCTTTGGATTGTTACAGTTGGAATGGTGTCTCTGAAAGGTCATCCAATGACAGCTCGTAACGGATAAATATTAAAAAGGTTTTAATACGAAGTGACATTTAAAGTTAGCGCGACACGTCAGAACCCAAGACAATAATCTGGCGCGAAAAGCGTTATTGCTATTCTCCACGGTTGTTGACAGCGCATGTAGCAGTAGACTTGTCCTACTTCCTCTACAGCGGCTCGGCACTGTAAGATATCATTGCGGTTTATTGAGCATACATCGTGAAGGATTCACTGGTCATAGACGATTAAATAGGCGACCGAGAGGAGTGAGCAAGATCAGGCTTCTGCATGATTGCGTTTCAATTAAAAGGTCTATTGGCAATGACAGGAATCAAGTCACCAAATTGTCACGTTACCATGGTTACGTATATATCTCATCAAGTGTAAAGGGCAGAAATATTGTCAAGAGATCCGGCCTAAGCTTATTAACGGACCGGAAATAACGCGACCGCCATCTTGACTGGGGATGATGGTTTCTCTTTTACGTGCTGCAGAGGCTGGCCACGCGCTGTATTTAAATATTGGTATTAAAAATTGTTAGGTTAATATTTATAAAGAAAAGTTGTTTTTAGCCAATGTGGGAACAAGTTCAACAAAACACACACACATCTATCGAAGACTATTTAACCGCAACACGAAGGGCCACCGAGACGTAACACTGACATGGAGCTAATGTCTACACGCTGCAGCAGCAATGTTTAAAGATACAACTATAAACACATCTATTGCGAGAGGGGACTTACTGACACCACCTGGAATAATGGGAGATAAGGTGAGCTATATGTATGTCACACTATGTACAACCGTACAGTGAGAGCACCACCCCTGTACAGTCTGTCAACCGTCATTATTGTATATATTGTACATCAAACATTGTAGCATTAGACACCCGGTGCTCTCATTGTCAGTGGGCGGTGGTTTTAGAATTTGTCACTCCCAGCGTGTTGCTGTGTCACGGTGTCTGTAACGTACCGATGTTAATGCATTATGTTTATTGTGCAAATGCTTGTATTTACCACCCAGGCTCTGAAGACTTGAGGGACTAGGTACCACAGTCTTGGGGATGTATTACCATTGTGAACATGAAACAGTGTGTCTGTGGGATTCCTGGCAAGACTCAAATACATGAACACTGGAGATAAATATGTCCAAGTTCAACTTGTTTGCCTTTGATTGCCATTGCATTGCCGTCCATTCATATCTTAGTATGTTCAAGAGTATAGGGCAAGGTCAACTTTGTTGGGTTCATTGACACCTGCTAGTTGAAAGGGCGTTACAAAGATCACAGTTGTACATCTGTGACTATGCACATGGCCGCTGTAAGTTGGTACTGTTGTGGTCTGTTACAGAAAATATTATGTTGTTGGTATTATGGTCGTGTGATATAGGACATATCATGTTGTGTGACACTGCATGTTGGTATTATGGTCGTGTGATATAGAACATATCATGTTGTGTGACACTGCATGTTGGTATTATGGTCGTGTGATATAGAACATATCATGTTGTGTGACACTGCATGTTGGTATTATGGTCGTGTGATATAGAACATATCATGTTGTGTGACACTGCATGTTGGTATTATGGTCGTGTGATATAGAACATATCATGTTGTGTGACACTGCATGTTGGTATTATGGTCGTGTGATATAGAACATATCGTGTTGTGTGACACTGCATGTTGGTATTATGGTCGTGTGATATAGAACATATCATGTTGTGTGACACTGCATGTTGGTATTATGTCGTGATATAGAACATATGTTGGTATTATGGTCGTGTTGGTATAGAACATATCATGTTGTGTGACACTGCATGTTGGTATTATGGTCGTGATATAGAACATATCATGTTGTGTGACACTGCATGTTGGTATTATGGTCGTGTGATATAGAACATATCATGTTGTGTGACACTGCATGTTGGTATTATGGTCGTGTGATATAGAACATATCATGTTGTGTGACACTGCATGTTGGTATTATGGTCGTGTGATATAGAACATATTATGTTGTGTGACAATGGACATCGAAAACTACACACTTGGAATTTCTTTCATCTCCAGAATAAAAAATACGATACAAAATGTATATGTAGATACTTGCGAACAGTAAATGAACACTAATTATAAAATAATTTCGACAGTTCTACAACCGTGGAAATAATGAAGGGGACTTGTCTGTCACTGGGTCTAATGTTAACACATATTGGCAGTGTGCTAGATGTACTGGCTAGGTACTGTAGCTAGGTACTGTAGCTAGGTCGTGTCTTGTTTGGTTGTGTTCTGATTTCATTAGTCAGCAAGGAGAAGAAGATGGCTGGACCCTGGTTTGTAGCAGGCTGTATTGGAAGAAAGAGTCCCCACCATGTAGTATTACTTCAAACTCACCAACTGGAACCTCTGTGTCTTACTTTGTGTATATCTTATGCGTATATCAATATGCGTTGACATGTCCTCGTCATATATATCAAATAGTTCTGAATCTGACAATACAGTCAAACACTGACACTCTTTTTGACCTTAGCGTCTAAAGTTTAGTTTCAATTTTATATATTTTGTGGTGATGCTGTTTCTTGCGAGTTGATTATTCATGGGGAGTTAAAATTTCCCTTTTTGTATCAATAGTCTGGAACGTTGTCAGGACTATCCTATAGCATAACATATGTTTGGTATGATATATCAGAATAGGTAATTCTACCATTCCATCGGAAAGCATACTGCAAGTGGATATACAACGATGTCTCCAAGACCATTCGAACCCCATTAGCTACCCCATATCATATATAACAATTGACTGTTAAGCCAGTGGGTTGAAAGAGGATGTACCCAATATTAAAGTTGAAACCACTGTACGTCAACCTTGTTGTATAAACCCATGATGTCGGTGTCGTGTTCGAGGATGCCGATGGGGTTAGGTGTGGCAGTTGGCCCTGGAACTCCTTCGAGGTGACCCCTTCCAGCAGTTGTAGTTGACGGATTCCTCAGACAGACACCTGTTGCCTCTGTACGCCTGGCTGAACAGGTGGATCTTGCCCTCGTGTTGGTCTAGGTAGTTGTACAAGTAGTCGTCGGCAAACCTTAACATCTGCCTCAGGCTGAGCAGCGCGGGAATGTCCACGTTCTGGTCCAGCTCCATCTCCTTCTCGTAGTTCTTCACGGGAAGCACGTGCGCACGTGGCAGGCCGACCAACTGCGCCACCTGGTCCACGAGCTCCCCGACGGTGGCGCTGCGGAAGATCTGAGAGATGTCGCTCTCCACCAACAAACACGCCCGGTCCACCTTCGTAAGAAGAACAACCTGAGGTATACCTGGAATGAAAAATGAATGAAACCTTCTGTACATTTACAAGGCCAAGCGCCATACGATTGTAATTTTAAGATCAGATTCATTGGGCAGTCGCTCGACCATTCTGCTGCTAGTGGTAAGAGGCGATTTAACGGAACAAGGGTAAGGCTTGGTGACCACTGGCTACGTAGCGATGTGCCCAGACTGATTATCAACCACCTTTGATCTTTACACTCTGGTATATCTAGAATATTGTTGACGCGACACTGATTATCTTACACCATCTCCCCAAATATCACAAAATGATGTATTAAGACATGGCACAATGCTGACCAAACAGCAATACGCTAAATTACTGCATTAACGGTTCCTCCATCAACGTCAGTACAACGTCTACGTACCTCTCTGGTTGGCTCGCTGCTGTATTGACTTGATGGTTTGGAGAATCTTGTCCGGGAAGACGTCCACGGTGCAGCCGTCAAGAACGAAGGCGATGCAGTGGATCTTGTCGGCGAGGATGGGGCTTTTCTTGTATCCGGCCGAGTCCGGGGAGATCGGCACAGCAGGGTTGAACTGAAGACGGAGCAGCACATGAGTTGAACGAATGGGTGTCATATCAGCCCAGGGTTGTTTGGGTGGATTGATTATTGGTTTGTTGTGAGTGGGTGAGTTTAGTTTTACGCCGCACTCAGCAATATTCCAGCTATATGACGGCGGTCTGTAAATAATCGAGTCTGGACCAGATAATCCAGTGATCAGCAGCATGAGCATCGATCTGCGCAATTGGGAACCGATGACATGTGTCAACCAAGTCAGCGAGCTTGACCACCTGATCCCGTTAGTCGCCTCTTACGACAAGCATGGGTTACTGAAGATCAATATTCTAACCCGGACCTTCACGGGTCGGTTTGTTGTGAGGATGGTTGGGTAGGTGAGTGGTAGGTTTGTTGCATGTGTGACTGAGTTATAGTTTCTAAATCGCGTTTAGACTTAGTCCAGGAGTAACAAGGCAATGATATCCCACCAAGAACAGAATGACCACTGTATTTTGCATGTAGGGGAAGGTCCGGTTCTTCCATGTGAAGATGGAACGCTTAACCGACTGTATTTAACAAAATATAAGGTTGAAATGAGAATATGGCCCCATGCAGCATTCTCCGTGAAGGGCGTATGGAGTCTGTTTTGACTTTTCATCCAGGCACAGTGTTTTAAGACTTGTTTTTACAGAACTCTGACCTCAAATAATCGTTGATATACCATTATATCTTTTGACGCCATAGTATTCTAATGTAAGATTAAATCATTGAAAACACTTACACTATTTCTAAAATCATACAACAGAGTTATCGAAAATTTGAGACGGTGTCTACAAGAGTGGCGTGTTGTGCTCAGATGACTACGTCTTGAGGTGAATGGTTGAACTGACCTGGTATCTGTCTGGCAGATGACCGTCCAAGATGGCGACCAAGTCACTGTCGTCCATCCCCTGCCCCTCCTCCAGGCCACGTGTGTCACACAGCCGGAACTTGAGGGGCATACACGACTCCGAGGATCGCACCTTGTACATCCGGAACTGGAAAACACAGGAAGTGAATTTTATAGTTCCCGATAGCAACTGATCGTATATTTACTGCCTTGTCTTGGCCGTAACAAAGGTTACATTTCAATCATTACAACAAATTATATATTGCTTTTATATTTTCCTCGAAAACGTAAAACACACTACAGTATATGATAAACACTAATTTTTTAAATTCATATTACGAAACGTATGTGATGTTATAGCAGAGACCTTTTACAATGACACAATTTCTGACGGATCACATCTATTGAATATTTCAATAGATTCAGCATCGATACTGCCCTACTTGGTTGAATAGGAATATTGCATACTTAAGGTCCAAAACACAACCGTATCTAGCAATTATTTTCATTTATTGCCACCTCCAAACATGAACAATGTTCACCACACCAACTTCTAAATACCGTCCAAAGAAGTTAACCACCAAACATGGTTGTACAGTTTCTTTGTCCCGGCAATTTATTCCCTAAAGTGTACTGTAAGATACAATCTAGCCAAGACATGAGAAGGTAGAATTTGTGATAAGGATATCTGGCCCGGTGGAACGTATGTGGGCGGTGATGGTAGCTGGAAAGGGCCGGGGATCGAGGGCGGGGTGGGGGAGAGACATACAGTATTGTAGCTCAGTTGGAGGAGGGGAAGGTTGTCGTAATGTTACTATTTCATAATCTTCACAGGAGCCCGGAGCCATTTCAAGAACAATTAGCAAGCACAAAACAAAATGAAATATTATATCACAAGATACAGCATATGGAATTCGGTTTTCGCAGCAAATACTGATAAAGACAACAAATTCGTTAACAAAATGTGGAGGTCGTCCCCAGGTCCCTCCTAATGCTACGGGCGCGAAAATCGTATTGCAGTGTGGGTGTCAGCCATCATCCATGTTGTTCTGTTTTCTTTCCACTCTGCTCCTACTCCAGAACCCCGAGAACAATCATGCTACCATTGAGCAGAGCCATTGATCACCTCTCGAACTCACGCTGTTCTTTTGGATCTGACGTTTATAAAGGATTCCCTTTTCCCACTGCCAACACGACCGAGGTTTGGTTTTGTAGCAAATTACATGAAACCAATAGAGAATGATGTATGAAAGCGCGCATGGTTTCTGCTAAAGCGAGATTACACTGCTGGTATTGATTGTAGCTCTTTCCATCTCCTGTGGCGCTGGACATCGCCATCAGATGGGATATACGTCGTGGGAGATATTCCCAGCGGGTATCACTGAGTACATAGCCTGCCATTATCACTGCAAACTGACAGTCGGCCGGTTAACTACTTTAAACCACAGATCTGCTGGTAGAACGTACACTCTGGGATATGGTCTGCAGCCGACGGAACTACGGAAATACTACAAGTCCAGAGGCCTTAGTACAAATCTGTATGGATGGTATATATACAGAAATAATGATTACTTGTTTACATCGTATCTTATCGATTCTTTACTTCACTGCAGTTAGGTAAATAGCTGTTTATGCCATTAATACACCCATATATACCGACGGCATTAATTCATTAAGCTAAAATGTTTGTTTGGAGATTGATATATAAATGAGACTTGGTGCATACAACACTCTAATAAAATGGGCACAGAAGAACAAAGCGGTGCTTGGGTTTTATAAACTGTAAATTTTATATTTCACACGTCTTAATTCCTAGGTAGAGTAATATATAGTCTCTGAAATTAACATATGGTACAGAAAAACAGTTCCTAAATTATAATCATAACATATTATGAAAGAGAACTGTGGTAATCTAAGCTTGCCACATATTCTAGACTTGCATGGGCTTCCTTGGGTATATTTGTTTCAAGATCTGTATGCATTGGCGGATCCAGAGGGGGGGTTCAGGGGGTCGACCCCCCCCCCCTTTTGAAAATGACTTAAAACCACATTGAAGATTTTTTCTTGCATTGGCAGAGCCAATGGGGATTCAGGGGTTCGAAACCTCTGAAACCACCCCACCCACCCTCCCCCCTTTCAAAATTCCTGGATCCGCCCATGGTATGACAGACTATTTCCTTCAGGTTGCTGCTATATCGGCTTGTTGTAATATTCAGTACAAGAGATGATCATCTACTTGGAGAAACTGTAGTTCTGCGTAACGTACATCTGTTAGAAACCTACTTAATGCATTATATGTAGACCCGCGAAAATCCGGGTTAGAATTGATCTTCAGCAATCCATGTTCGTTACATGTACTCTCAAGAACAACGAGTATACTATGAGGTGATAAGCCCACCTATGTAGTGTAACAAGTCATCACCAGCCTACATTGTTTTACTGAGTTATATCAACCTGCCTACTTAGCGTACAACTTTTATCAGCCTGCCTACATTGCCTACAGCGTAAGTATAATGCCTACTTGTTTTTAACATCATTTTCTTATCAAGCTGCCTACATTGTGCAGCTTTGTATATACATTCATTATACACATCATTCATCATAGGGGTAGCCTAATGGTTAAAGCGTTGGCTCGTCACGCCGAAGGCCCGGGTTCGAATCCCCACATGGGTACAACGTGTGAAGCCCATTTCTGGTGTCCCCCGCCGTGATGTTGCTGGAATATTGCTAAAAGCGGCGTAAAACCAAACTCAGTCAGTCAGTCATTCATCATATACATCTGCCTACGCTGTTTAACTTCGTTATCAGATAAACCGGCCTATAGTGTGTACCTATTTTATCATATACATCTGCCAACGTTGTACCAGCCTGTTCACATGGAGCGGAATTGCTCTCACATCAACCATGTGTTTTGATCCCAGTTTTTACGGTGTATCAATCACCACACCGCGCCATACTTATCCCTGATCTGCCCGCTAATCCCGGAAACAACACAGTCCCGCAGCACGGTGACATCCGAGCCACAACAATATCAACGCTCCCCGGAAATATATGTTGCAGTAATCACTCAAACAAATAAAAACGTAGCAGATAAATAAACAACATATGGGAAAATAAAATGTGATATGTGATTATTTAATCGATGTTCCAATCAGCGTGTCTCATTACCACTGCCGCCCGCCGAGCCCCATAGAGGGCCCAGTGAGCAGACAAACCGGTTAATCATCATCCTTTAATGGCGTTCCTGCAGCTGTAGCACATCTCTGACCGCGTCAATATATTCCCGCTACAGGCGTTCATGAAGAATGTAGAGAAATTTATGAGAACAAAACTAAAGCAAATAAATATGATTTAGTTGCAATCATCGGGTTGATTGCGAGCTGATTCCTCTTGAGAACATTTAGTGTTACACCCTGAGCTGTGAGTTACTATGCACATAACAAAAAATGAAATTCTGACGATGACGGTTTATAAATAATGGTCACAAGAGACGGCAATAAGCATGCGTTGAGATACATTTTCCAGAAACGTTCCCCAATAACGTATAAAACCTGTCCGATTTCATCTTTTTGTTAAATCTAGAACCAGTTTCCATCTGACAAGAGACTCCTGGATACGACTGGGGGCTCTATACACTCCTGTTAATGTTCCTCCTCGTAAAAATGTTGAGTTCCTGTTTCCGATGATTTCAAACTTACCATGGTAGTTAGGCTATGTTCGGCACTTCCGCTGCAGGCTTGACTCGTCACGTGACCTCTAAATATGGAGTTGATGGTGTTGAAGTAGCTTGATTTGCCAGCCCCGACTGCCCCGATCATCAGGATGTTAACATTGTTCACCTTAAGGCCGCCGAGTGGTGCATACAGGTCAATGTAGGACTTAAGTGCCTGAAAACATAAAGAATAAACCCCTGATGATTGTTGGAATCGGAAACATTACTTCGTGTGAACACTCGCTACGAATATCTCCACAACTGCTGAAGAGGCGTAACGCAACATTCAATCATTCTCGCTACCACACGCCAGCACACACCAATATAGTCCATATCTACCACTGTGTGACTCATGCTCGCTACCACACGCCAGCACACAACAATATAGCCATATCTACCACTGTGTGACTCATGCTCGCTACCACACGCCAGCACACACCAATATAGTCATATCTACCACTGTGTGACTCATGCTCGCTACCACACGCCAGCCACACCACATATCAACCAATATACACATATCTACCACTGTGTGACTCATGCTCGCTCGCTACCACACGCCAGCACACACCAATATAGTCATATCTACCACTGTGTGACTCATGCTCGCTACCACACGCCAGCACACACCAATATAGTCATATCTACCACTGTGTCACTCATGCTCGCTACCACACGCCAGCACACACCAATATAGTCATATCTACCACTGTGTGACTCATGCTCGCTACCACACGCCAGCACACACCAATATAGTCATATCTACCACTGTGTGACTCATGCTCGCTACCACACGCCAGCACACACCAATATAGTCATATCTACCACTGTGTGACTCATGCTCGCTACCACACGCCAGCACACACCAATATAGTCATATCTACCACTGTGTGACTCATGCTCGCTACCACACGCCAGCACACACCAATATAGTCATATCTACCACTGTGTGACTCATGCTCGCTACCACACGCCAGCACACACCAATATAGTCATATCTACCACTGTGTGACTCATGCTCGCTACCACACGCCAGCACACACCAATATAGTCATATCTACCACTGTGTGACTCATGCTCGCTACCACACGCCAGCACACACCAATATAGTCATATCTACCACTGTGTGACTCATGCTCGCTACCACACGCCATCACACACCAATATAGTCATATCTACCTCTGTGTGACTCATGCTCGCTACCACACACCAGCACACACCAATATAGTCATATCTACCTCTGTGTGACTCATGCTCACTACCACACGCCAGCACACACCAATATAGTCATATCTACCACTGTGTGACTCATGCTCGCTACCACACGCCAGCACACACCAATATAGTCATATCTACCTCTGTGTGATTCATTTCGTGAAAATTCTTGGACTTTTGTAAGCCCGTGCGTACCAGTTCACAAGTGTGTGCACCTTTGTGTGTCATCTAATGTTCATCTGTGTGAATAATTGTTCATTGTCATCGTGTGTTCATCTGTGTGAATCATTGTCATCGTCTGTTCACCTGTGTGACAAGTGTATGCACATTGTCATTGTGTGTCATCTATTGTCATCATCTGTGTGAATCATTGTCATCAATCATTGTCATCGTCTGTTAATGTGTGTGAATCATTGTCATCGTGTCATTGTCATTGTGTGTCGTCGTGTGTTCATCTGCGTGGACCCTTGTGTATCGTCGTCTACATATCTGTGTGCACCATTGCGGGCCATCGTCCGTACATTTGTGTGGGTTCTGATGTGTCATCGTTTGTGGACAATTGTTGGGTCATTGTAAGTACATCTGTGTGAACCAGTGTGTAATACATTGGTTGACCCACGGGAAATCACTCCGTACCATTGTGTCTACCTCTCGTCTACTTTGTATGCATTTGTAAGGCAATGTTTGATGCTTTGCAAATCATGTAACATGTAATATTGTATGTAATATGGGTATACCATACTATGCTATTGTCAGCCTCTGTAGGGACAATGTGCATTCGTATATGAAGGACAATGGTGCATACAATGCTTCATACACGAGTTGATTTGAGTTGGGCTTTACGTCACATCGGCATTATGGCTGCATAAAAATGCCGATGTGACGTAAAGACCAACTCAACTCAACTCGTGTCTGAAGCATTGTGTTGACAACTGACAGCCACTGAAGGATTCATTGTGTACTTGTGTATGAAGCATTGTGTTGACAACTATCAGCCACTGTAAGATTCATTGTGTACTCGTGTATGAAGCATTATGTTGACAACTGACAACCATTGTAGGATTCATTGTGTACTCGTGTATGAAGCATTATGTTGACAACTGACAACCATTGTAGGAATCACTGTGCGTGTGCCTTATACATATTCAATCTATGTAATCCTGTCAAAACTCACACAAAGGAGTAAAATATTGCCTTTGCCACTACAGTGTTGAATGTAGGTCTGTAGTGCCTGTAATACAGTATCTCCAAAGTTCGATGTAAGACTACAATGATGAAGGACGCTTTCATTTTGTTTCTCTGTTTGATGCTATGCCTAAGTAAAACAGTCACTGTTGACACAAGCAAGCGCAGTAAACATGCAGTAGGAGTGGTATTGACACAGAACTTATCCCTGGAAACTAAATATATGTTAGTGGTCTTGAGGAAAGCAGGACGCCTTGGGATTGATTCGTCTGTGAGTTTTGCCCCATATACAACAAGAGCAAGGGCATCAAGCCGATATCATTCCCAGGCTGAGAGGATGCTGCATGATCTGAAAGACTGGATGCTACATGGTTTGAGAGAGATCTTTGAATGGCACATGGTCTGACGGACTGAGGGCCATTTTGTCTGACTGGTACACGGTTGGCAAATTGGAGGGTCTGTCTTCTGAATGGTAGACTGAAGGGTACATGGACTAAGGTTTTCGGCTTAATAGTAATGGATACATCAATAAAGTACACCGCTGTCTAAAACCTGGCAAGGCACATCGATTTGTTACGAGCTGGAAGAGCGAGATAGACCATCAATGATCTACTCACCGGGTCGGTGAGCACGTTTCACTGATTAGCAGCATACGCACTGGCGGCTCCATCGGCTCCACTGGCTCCACAGAGACTATGGGTGTGTGGAGCATGTTATTTAGGTTTGTCTGGACATATAGGAGGTATGTTTCGAACGTGTAGTCTAATCTGGGTGACTGCAGTTGAAATGCTGCTGTCCTTTCAGATGATGCACTCGTGTTGTAATCATACCTAATCCCAATAACATCATGTCCACATGAAGTAACACCACCTGATCTCATTAACATTAAGTCCACGTGTTGCAACACCACCTGATTACACTAATATGACGTCCACGTGTTGCAATACCACATGATCTCACTAATATTAAGACCACGTGTTGCAACACCACCTGATCTCACTAATATTAAGTCCACGTGTTGCAACACCACCTGATCTCACTAGTATTAAGTCCACGTGTTTTGTAACACCACCTGATCTCACTAATATTAAGTCCACGTGTTGCAACACCACCTGATCTCACTAATATTAAGTCCACGTGTTGCAACACCACCTGATCTCACTAATATTAAGTCCACGTGTTGCAACACCACCTGATCTCACTAATATTAAGTCCACGTGTTGTAACACCACCTGATCTCACTAATATTAAGTCCACGTGTTGTAACACCACCTGTCACTAATATTAAGTCCACGTGTTGTAACACCACCTGATCTCACTAATATTAAGTCCACGTGTTGCAACACCACCTGATCTCACTAATATTAAGTCCACGTGTTGTAACACCACCTGATCTCACTAATATTAAGTCCACGTGTTGTAACACCACCTGATCTCACTAATATTAAGTCCACGTGTTGTAACACCACCAACACACCACCTGATCTCACCACCTAATATATAAGTCCACGTGTTGTAACACCACCTGATCTCACTAATATTAAGTCCACGTGTTGTAACACCACCTGATCTCACTAATATTAAGTCCACGTGTTGTAACACCACCTGATCTCACTAATATTAAGTCCACGTGTTGTAACACCACCTGATCTCACTAATATTAAGTCCACGTGTTGCAACACCACCTGATCTCACTAATATTAAGTCCACGTGTTGTAACACCACCTGATCTCACTAATATTAAGTCCACGTGTTGTAACACCACCTGATCTCACTAATATTAAGTCCACGTGTTGTAACACCACCTGATCCAACTAATATCATTTTTACGTGATGCAGCACCAACTAATCTGAAAACAGCTGGCAAGGTCACACCATTGATATCACTACTTGTCCACATTATGCAACAACTTCAGATCTCTTCTTGTCAACCCCCAGGTTTTGTTATGAATCGCTCTATTTGAACTATTCTACATTTTCCCAAATAGCTATCAGCGATAATGCATCAGTCACGTCTTGCATTAAGTAAGGTGTCTTTCTCCCTCACCATAATTACATTACTTCCAGTTCAGTGATCAGTCAGCCACTCCATAAAACATTCTTACCGATGAAAGAAAAACCTAATGTTGCTGCTCTTCCTTGGGTGATAAATCAGCACTTTCACGACCCAATTTTTATACTCATTAAGGGTCGACATCCATAATATCATGGCCCCAATCGGTCATATTTAGCATATATAATATTTGAGCTATATAACAGTTCTCCTAATGGATGTGTTGGTGACATTTAGCTGCGTAGCTGCATTCAGCGTAACAGCCATTTGCACATACATACACGACTGGGTTTCATTGCCAAGATTCATGGCTTGCAAATTAAAGCGGATTCATTCGGAACAGCAGTGACAGAATAACGATGCTGGGAGGGGCATTCAGCCCGGTCAAACATCACGCTAGATCTCTCGCAGCTCCCAGACCCGGCGGATTACACGGAACGTTTCGCAATCAGAAACGTTTTCCTGGAATATCTATCGACCATTTTACCCCCAATTTAGAACTTAGGGATTTATTCAGTTATCAACGAGAATATTTATAGCTAATTTGAAAACTCATAATCAGACATACCAATTATTTAGATCATCTGTATATTAATCGATGTATTCTGGGAACGTCATATTTGATTGACTGAGGGAATTTGCCAGCTATAGGTCGGCGCTATACGTCGACTTCAGTGTGCTTTATTGTGTAATCCAAGTCATTCTGGGTGCTCATTATAGTCCCTGCTTCCCACAACGAGTTGATTATTGTACTCTGTGAAGGAAATATATTACATTATCGTCACAAACAGGCAATCTTCCGGTAATGATCATGAAGATTGGCTATACTCGCTCCATGTATTAGTACGTGTGTTAAGGCTATCCAGTCAATTATATCAGCTTTGTCAGACACGGCCTCCATCGTGGCATAATGCAGCTTGTTACAGAAGCCGTGTTCAGGGGTAGCGGGGAGATGAACAGTTGGCGATATATCAGAGTATATCACAGAGTATATCACACAACAGATATATATTCATCTTGTGATGACGTGAAGCTCGTGGGTATCTCCAAGGTCGTCATGGTCGACGGGGCTTATTGTCATGAACAATACAATTAGACACGTTAGAATTAAAATCAAGTTTCGTTAGGAAACAAGGGACATATCATGTGAGGTAAGGTTAGGGGTAAAAATGTTGGTTCTTAGGGACGTTCATAGGGACGCCCGTGAGTGTGGGTATATCTGTCTGTCTGTCTGACTGTCTGACTGGTTGTGTGTGTGCGGGTTTAAACCGGTTGTACGGTGCCATCCCACTAGGATACAATGGTATTACCCCGGTCTGTGGATCACCACGCATGCACACATGAATATTTGTCTCAGCTCCCTGGCGAGGATACTACTTGCTGACAACTATTTGGGATAGAGTGCCGGCTTACCTTGGTGCTCAGTTCCGGTAACTTCCGCCACGGCTCCTCGCTTAGATCATTGCCGTCTGAAATAGAAGAAAAAGACGTCATTGCCGGCAGCAATATCGCCTACACACATGACGATTTGTGGCCAAGACAGTCTAGGAATAAGCCAAAGCTCTGCTCTTGTTTGAAGTAAGTGGCAATTTCTGGAAAGGACTTCTCAGGGAAACGTTTCATAGAAACTATTCAGTACAACTGAAGCGAACCACCTGACCTTTACCATGCCTTTAAATACATAGCTGAGTTCGTGGCTTGTTGGAACCCGGATCAATGGAGTACATCTTGTAAACAACAGTTGTTTTGATAAATGTGGTGAAAGCAACAACGACCAAGGAACGGCAACACCTGGGTATATGGTATATTCATAGGGTTTTCCAGACACCCGAAAATACTTCAATAACAACATCCCTTACACGATAACCACTGATTCATGGCAGTCGCTAGTTTAGGATAGATCATAGTTCAGAATAAGCACTAGGTCAAGATAGTCGCTATCAGCGTACGCCCTAGGTCAGGATAGTCGCTAGTTCATGACAGTCGCTAGTTCAGGATAGTTCATAGTTCAGGGTAAGCATTAGGTCAAAATAGTCGCTTCCTGTTCAGGGTAAGCATTAGTTCAGGGTAAGCAGGATTGTTTCAATGAAAAACGCTACAAGCGCACTGAGAAGCGTCACATTGATCTAGACGTAATGATCACTGTTGATCGAAACCAATTGAAACGTTTAATAGGGTGTCTATATATAGACCTATTTTCCTTCAGGTTCCGAGGACTTAATGCACCAGGAATTATTGAAGAGGACCCTTTAATCTAATGAGATGGTAGATCAGCCCCAAACATAGAACTGAAACAGACGAGATGATACAGAGCAATACAGAAGATGGGGATTTTGCTTAATGCAACTGGTATATCAGACTAGGTTACACACCTAGAAACACTAAATACAACCCGTGGCTCCAGGTTTCTTTCACTCTGCAATATCCCAGTTAAATGGTTTCTGAAAATAATCGAGCCAGGACCAGCCAATCCAGTGACTAACATCATTAGTATCGATCTACGTAGCTGGGATGATATGAGATGCATCAAAACCAAGTCAGCGAACCTGACCACCAGATCCTGTTAGTCACCTCTTACGACAATCATGAATTGCTGAAGACCATTTCTAAACGAGATCCTCCTTGGCCCATAGCTGCAAGTGAAAATGAATCGTACGGAGGAGACCCCACATTCTTGGACACCAGTGGACTCAATGAACCGTTGTGCAGATTCAAACCAACACCGTGGTCATAACAGACTGACACCCTCACCACTCGACTACCCACTGGTTAATATACATTTTACCACATATCCCTCCAACAGCGATATCAGGCTGAAGTAATGCAACAGTGTATACAGGGCAATTACAACCCTTGTTCTCATTGCTACCCGCGGAGAAACTACTATTGTCTCTTTAACACAGTTTAAAGTCTGGACTGAATAACACCCCCTCAGCTCCAGGACTAATACTGGCGCACGCAACACCGGCAAATGGTTTGCAGCGGTTCTTGCAGTAACTAATTCTGGAGGCAATTATTCCGTGGAATAATATAGGCCGTTTTGTCCCCGAAGACTAGCCAATAACCGCATTACCTAATCTGAATATTCTCCTCTGCCGTCAGCCACACCACCAAATATGAGATCCGTCCAGGGCATACTAATGTAAGATTTTGTCAAAGTAATGTTCGACGGAGACACCTTGGTCATTGCCTGGAGGTTCCAGGGAGTTAATGTGAGTAATGACACACGACTTGTATGGTAATAACCAGCTGTATGTGATGCCAGGGCGGTCTACCTTCCGCTGCAACACCAGGGCATAATGTAGGGCACCCTCTCGCTCTCATCTTACTTTATCCTACCGCTTCATCCTTCCAAGTCAATGATAACTAATTCAACATGACATTTACCAAGAAGATTAATATCCCATCTGAACACTGGTAGTAAGTCACTATACATTTGCCTACAGGGAAAATGTCCATATTCAACAACATTGTTTTTTTGTAATTACAGTTCCTGTGTTTTTTCGTAATAACATTTGTTGACTACCGGCAGTGGCTCTGGAAGAGACCGTAGTGGCATTCTAGAACAGAGCCACACCTTCCACTGCCCAGGGGATGGGCTTCTGGGATAAATCTCCTGTATGGTAGCAGACATGATCGACGTGAGGTCGAAGCCATAAAAAGCCCCATAGGATGATTACATTGCTTTGGTTGGTCACATTGAGTTCCGTTGATGGCAGCTAATACTCAGTTCTGAGGTATTGTCCGAGTTGGGTAATATGATGAAGCTTCCGGTATCTATTTTAATGCTATGATTTGTATTCAGTGATAATTGTGGTCATGGATCCTTTGGAAACTAGATTACATTTATACGATATGACGGGTCTAGCAAATGTTGAATAGAATATGAGAGTATCCACGTCAGGAATTACACTACAGGGATTAATAAAAGTGTCAGATTTATAATAGGACCATATCATCAACGTATAGAATCATTCCATTGTCAGCCATTCCTGCATAAAATACACAAATCCAATTGGAACAGTTTTCCTCCGAATATAGCTATCTATCCTCGATTGGTTTGACCTGTGCGTCACGGCTTGTGTCGAGCTTCAGCCGTCAATCTACATTATGCGTCTACCCTGTCAGACTTTTTCATCATATCCTCTCCGTGTAGGAGTGAATGTCAGCCTCGCTGTCACAACAACATCGCCGACGGGTCTGGAAGTAAGTTTAACCGTTGGGGGTGTATCCACAGTGATGTCCACTTGAAGTGACTGAGCCGCGGGGGACACGAGCAGTGAGGGTGGAGTCGCATCTGAGGGAGAGTTTAGGGAAGGGGTTTGGTTCAGGCAGTGGTGGGATAAAAGGTCGGGCTAGAGCAGGGTTGTGGAGTTTGATAGAACTGGGGGTGAGTGCGGACTGGATTTAGGCAGAGGTGTAGAGAGGCTATGTCAGTTGGGGTAAGGGCCGAAAGGTTGGCCTAGAACAGGGTTCAGGGAGGGGGATTGGAAATAGGACGAAGTATGGAAAGAGCAGGAGGATGGGGACAGGGTTTTGGAGAAAAGACAAGGGAGTTCATGTATCACACCAAGGTCGGGAAGCAAACAATCAGTCGGTACGTGATCAAACAGATACCAACATCTATTCACTGATTTGAACAGGAAGGCGTTGGTAGGTCATCTGGATGTTCTATTTCAAGCTTTACAGGCGCTGAAGATCAAAGACTTGAACGTGATGGAAGATTGACAGAGAATAGCATAGAAATGGAAACGAGAAACCAATTGATTTGACCTATTTGGCAGTACTTAGTGTCGTTAACATGGGAATTGAGGCGTTATATCTACTTCCTTCTTTTCAGTAGACACATATCTAACAACACTGGACACAGATCTACTGGCATCCTTCTCAGTGGACACAGATCTAGTGGCATCATTCTCAGTGGACACAGATCTACTGGCATCCTACTCAGTGGACACAGATCTACTGGCATCCTTCTCAGTGGACACAGATCTACTGGCATCCTTCTCAGTGGACACAGATCTACTGGCATCCTTCTCAGTGGACACAGATCTACTGGCATCCTTCTCAGTGGACACAGATCTACTGGCATCCTTCTCAGTGGACACAGATCTACTGGCATCCTTCTCAGTGGACACAGATCTACTGACATCCTTCTCAGTGGACACAGACACTGATCCTTCTCAGTGGACGGCAGGCATCTTCTCAGTGGACTGAGATCTACTGGCATCCTTCTCAGTGGACACAGATCTACTGACATCCTTCTCAGTGGACACAGATCTACTGACATCCTTCTCAGTGGACACAGATCTACTGACTTCCTTCTCCTTGTGCACAAGTCTACTGGTGTTCTATTGTTGACTTTGGACAAAGAGGATGTTTCAACACTGTCAAAGGTTATCGTCACATATACACACTATACGTGTACAGTATCGATGTGACTTCGTTAGGTAAAGGTAAAGTGAATGAGATGCCAAACCATCATCAAGGAGCTTATACATATATATTTATTACAACCCCTTCATTGTTTATGAACAGACGGTGCGCGTGTTCCCGAGTGCTATCATATATATGAATGATATATGATCAGGAATGTTGGTATATTCACTAACAGAAACAAATTAAAAACAATTTGTCTGGAATCAATCATTATACTTTCAGATATATTCTGAGGTTGTCAGGTTACACATATTGAGTGGGGTTTCAGCGTTGCCTGCATGTCAATGGGCACTGTAAGTAGAAATTAGAGTTATTCCCCTTGATAAGCGTGTCTGACACGGGGTGGCTGGGCAAAGCGGCCCGGTACACCCGAGACCACTGGGGGAGATCACTCTTCACAGATCCACTCACCCTGTGGCAGCAGAAATACGTCTCACTGTCGAGAGACGGAATTCTGAACACACTTGTGAGCATTTCATTAAAACGGCATACGCTAATTACATTAATCTAGGGATCTACATCGACTTGGCTCCTTCTCTATTGATAGCATCATTTACGCTGGATGCATTACAATAGGAACAGTGTGCCAGAACCAGCCGTGTCAGACATGCAGGCAGGCAGGCACAATTTGGAGGATGCCATGTGCAGACAGGGAGGAGTGGTGTACAGAGAGGGCTCATGTGAAGATAGACAGGAGGATTTTGTGAATACAGACAGAAAGGGGTCATTTACATACAGAATGTAGACATGTACAGACAGGGATGTACGGATGTGAGTCAATATCAAGAGAGTGAGAGAAAGAAAGAGTGAGAGAAAGAAAGAGAGTGAGAGAAAGAAACAGACTAAGAGAACACCGTGGGTGATAAGTAAAGGCTACTTCTGTGAATGATGAATGTGAGCGCTACTATTTCCGTGAGTGGTAAAGTTAACGCTACTTCCGGGGAATGATGAAAGGATACGCTACTTCCGGGGAATGATAAAGGGCACACTACTTCCGGGGACTGATAAAGGGCACTCTACTTCCGGGAAC